TCGATTCGTTCGGAAGACGTTTGAGGTATAATTGAAACGCGTGCTTGTTCATTTCGCCTAACTTTCACGATCGTTGTATCGTTCTGTGCAGAAAGGGGATACTCCTTTAGTCTTGAACTTTCTCAAAATATTGAAAATTATTTTTTAAATGATCGATATCTCTTTTCGAGATTTTCTTTTTCCTTTTTCGTATCGAAACTTGAAGTCAGATTTAATTCTACTTATTACTTTGAATTCAATAATATTTTTCTGTCCTGAATTCAAAAGTATTTTTTTTTTCTTCTTCTCAATGTTATGTTAAAAATTTTTTTGCAGGATATTAAAAGTCTCTTTATTCGTGGAAAGTAGTGAGATGTAGAACAAAGCCCGATTCCTTGTTTCTATGTAAAAGATACTACATTATCTACTGCTAATGTAAACTTACGTTACCTACTGATTAGTTAACACTTGCGTGGCGCTAGTGTCGCATCACCAGACGCCATAGTCTCGTATTGATACAAAGCGTAATATTATTAATTAGTTAATTGCAGATCTCTATGCACGTCTGCGTATTTGAAAATATACAGGGTATACTACAAAATATTCAAAGTATAAAATTTCTGCCTAGTTTCCGTTCTTTTAATGAAATGTTCGTAGAAATTTACATAAAACAATTTACAGTCTAAAGATTAAGGCGTTGCACATAAGTAGAGATTGTTTTCAATTTTTGCATTGAAATATATATATATAATAGATTTATTATTTATTATAATTTAATCATTGATATATTAATACATGATTTTCCTATTCAATGAAGAAAACATTGCTGTGAGTTTAGAATATAAATTCCAGCAATAAATGGACGCCAGAGTCAAAAAGTATTGAAAACGTAAAAAAGAAAATGTTCTCAGGAATTAGAGTCCAAGATACAAAATTACAAAAAGAAAAACAAAAATTCGCTAAAGTTCCTTTCTGCACAGTGCTCGATTATACAATGAAAACAGGAAACACTGTGATTGTCGTACGACAGTCAGCCAATTCCGACACTTAATCTAAAAAAGAAAGACATTATTTTTTTAAGCCAAGCTGTTTTTCAACTAAACGGAAAACAAAAAAAAAAAAAAAGATAAAATGATAATAAACGATGAAACCATAGAAAAAGAGGACACTGACAGCGTTTCCCATTTCCATTTCAGCAAACTCCTCTTGCCTAATCGACGGGGCAACTCGTGCATACGCAGAAGCGCGCGATTCGAACTGCTGAGTTAAGAAATTTATCACCGAAATTTTACGAAAGTGAGATGAACCCGTGTCTTAAAAAAAAAAAAAAAAAAAAGAGAAAAGAGAGAAAAAATCGAAAGAAGAGTTAGGCTCTCTAATTTATTCCTTGAAAGTTAATGTTTTAACTCTATATATTTCCTAACCTGTACTCACTGCAGGGTGCTTGTGTGTCATGGCCGTCACGGTGGATCGAGAAAATGTTCGATGCATCGCAAATAAAACGTAAATCAGACGTGATCCAGGATTTCTTTCATTCAACACTTTCATCTGACGAATGTTGTTTGGAAAATTTGGAAAAAATTCCGTGTCTTTCTTCGATGATGTTTCACTGTTCATTGGTTTGACAAGCGTTCTTCCAAGATTCTATAGTATTCGTTCTTTTTTTTTTCTTTTTACAAAGAAGAGAATGGCAAAAAAAAGGCTATGTAAAGTAATAATGAATTAACTAAGACCTAAAGTACAGAATGCTATTTAAATTATACAAAAAAGAGTTTCACGTTAAATGTAATATTCAGTTGGAATACTCATTCAGTCCTAAAATTCGATAAAAGATACTTTTTCATTTTTGCCACGTTTAAGATCGTAATGAGACTTTCCAAACAACCTGATATCAATTACTGTACTAATTATCCAGATTATTATGTTCTCCATACTTTTTGGAGAATCTGACACGAACATTCTCAAGCTATAAAAAAAAGTACAGAAAAAATATCTTTCAGTTGGAAGGTAAATGCTTTTATTAAAGGAATCTTCGACTCGTGGATTTCTACGATACGTGGAAACAGGAAGGCGAGAGCCGATCGAGAAGAGGGAGCAATTTCCCTCGATAATTCGAGGGCGTGTTCGGTTGAACGCGTCGAGGAAAGAACGCAGGATGATTCCGGCTTTCTAGCAGTTTCAGTTTTCGATAGACCGGATCGCGGAACCTCGTGAATATTCACAAGCTCGAACGGAAAGCAAAACTACTCTTACGGACAGTCTGATGTGTGCTCTTAAACTCGAACACACACTGATTAATTCTGTATTTTTATTTTTTTTTATTTTTTAAGAAGCATGCCGGCACCCACTTGCTGTTCATTTGTGATCCTAGCGTTCTAATACTGTTTCCTTTTTCTTCTTTTTTTTTTTTCTTTTTTTTTTTTAATTTACAGCTGCCTTGTGATTGATTGAACCTTCGATTGTATTAAATGTACCGATTAATTATATTTTGTATACTGATTTCGTCGTCACTTTTTTTATTTTCCCCTGACTTTGTTTCCTCTTATTAACGCCTTGCTGACTTGGCAAAGTTTGCAATATATATATATATATATAT